CAGACTTTAATAACTCGCTTTTGCTCATTTGTACTGTTTCTTTCCAAATCATTTGTATTACTTACCGCTAAAATACTTGGACTGCGTTGCAATTTGTTATATGGACTATATTTAGGCTTCATGGGCTTTCCTGCTACTCTGTCCTTGTGTCTTCTGCTGGAGATGTGCTGAAATAATACAAGACAAGTCTTGTTAGTAAAATAGAATGAACTAAGATTGACTGAAGTAAAATAAAACTTTGTAAAAAAATACTTGTTAACAGAGACAGACATCACAAATCATTCACTCCGCGGGTATTCAGTGCAGAAAAGTAAATGATTGACCATGATGTTTTGAACGGCGGGTAGAAATTCCCAGAATACTGTAGTACCATTTTGTATATAATTTGTCTGCAAAACATTAAATGAGTAAAGAAACCATGTACCTGTTTCAGCTGGATTTCTGAATTTACGTGGACATCACAGATTTCACAATGAAATGTTTTATTCTGTAATCCTGAACCTTTGCTGCCATTCTGAAGTTTTAGCCTGGATCCAGACCTTGGGTAGGATTTGATAGGACCTGCGCCATTCCGGGCCTCAATCATTGTTTTGTGTTTAGAACCTTAACAAAAGGGTCAGAGCTGTTAGGAATATATTATTCATGTAACCTATATAGGGTTACAATAATGATAATGTGATTTTTGTTTTCAAAAAAGACATAAATTACACCAGACAAACAGTTAAATACACAGTTGAAATGCGTTCATAGGAGTTCCTTTAACTCCTAAATTTAAAAAAAATAATGTTTATCCAGGAAGTCCTGAGATAGGGCAAGCAAGGGTTATAAACCTTGTCAGTTTTTCATTTGCCATTTGTGTCCTATTGGGGAGATTTCCCTTCACTTGCTGTCCCATAGTGACAACAGGAATTGAGAGGAAATCCCTCCAGGGTACCAGAACCAGTGTCCCAATTGGAAGGTTTCCTCTTCATTATTATTCTGTGGGATGTTCTTCCACGGTCAGTGATAATGTTCACCAGGACAAACAGTGCAAGTAAATCTCCTAACGAAGACACAGACAGCAATAAAAACCTGTCAGGTATTCTAATCCTTCTTCACTCTACCTAAAATTTTTAAAAAGTTTGGGTTTTAGTTCTACTTTTTTTTCTTAAATCTTAATTTTAATTAAGCAAAAAGGTACATATACGAAACAACAAAGTGAGGAATCACAAATATCAAATTAGCAAAATGAAGAACAAATTACAACAGAAATGGGGTGCTATGGGGAGCCCAACCATATTCACCTCTCTGATAGCGTAGAAAACAAAGACAAAATAGAAGTGAAAAGCATGTCCTTCAAAGGCTCTCTTTTAGTAGAATATATGATTGTAGCAAAGCTGGGGTGGACCTTAAACTGATTCAGGAAACCCATTTAAGGAACAGGGTGGCATGTACTCCGGAAGGAAAGGTGGGGTGAAAAGAGGAGAATGGGAGTTGTTGAAAAGCAGAAAGACCAAGAATACTACATAGAGCGACTGGAGTAAACAAGGAGGTGGAGTCAAGGCAGAGAAATAAAGTAGGCGCAGGAAGGGGAAGATGTCCTCCTGTGACTCATAACCCAGCGCATAGCGGGCTATTGTGGCAGCCAGGACGGATCCCAACAATATTGTCAAGATCTGCCCCGCTACCTGAGCCAGAGGCAGCTGTGTTCACCCCCTTGCCCATCTGTCTTTCCAGTCATCGATGGAGGAACAGAAAGGGAGGGGGAGGGAATCCCTGCAGGGATTGGTGACTGATAGTCACTAATCGCTGCAGGGAGAAAATCGTGAGTGATCAGTGGCGTGTGATCGCTTAGTTCTCGATCAATAGAGCTGATGTGTGACAGCTGCAGTGTCACACATCCGCTCTAACTATGGCGATGAGTGTATTTCACTCATCCCATAGTTCTCCTTTAAGTGTGACAGTGCTAGTGACTGGTTATTGGCTGCTAAGACACCTAAAGTTGCTTATACACGGATTGAATTTTGGCCATTCCCTGCTGAATAGTCTGAAATTCAATTTGTGGATAGCCCTGTTGGCACCACCCGACTTGACAAAAGTAAAATTTTAAATTGACATAGAAATGTATTGAAGACAACATATAAGCATAACACAGCCAACCAGAGGCTTTTGAAGGAGAAGTCACCAATGGCTTATGGCATTTATTGAGGAAGATAGAAATTGATTGAAGACAACGAATAAGCAGAATACAGCCAACCATATTTTTTTGAAGGAGAGGTCACCAATGGCAGCCCCTGTATTTCTCTAAATACAGTTTTCCTATAATGCAAGTGGCATCCTGTAAGACAAAAGAAAGAAAATGGTCCTGCCTTCCCTCGATGCTGTCCTGTATAATAGCCTACTAGCTCAATTCCAGCTCACAAGAAAGCCACATTGACTCAGAAGTCGCCATGGCTTTCAATCCCTGTGAGGCAAATTAAACTCATCCCTTCTAATGTTTGTTAGGGTGTAGCCAGTAAAAGGAGGACCAGAGCCAACATACAAGAGGAGTGGCCAAAGCGGCTTAGCGGTTATCACTTCTGCTATCACTCCCTGGTTCAAATCCCGATCAGAACACTATCTGCAAGGAGTTTGCATGTTCTTTCTGTGCTTGTGTGAGTTTCTTGGGTACTCCGATTTCCTTCCATACTCCAAAAACATGCTGGAATGTTGACTGGCACCTGTCTAAATTGGCCGTTATGTGTGTACAATAGAGACCTTAGATTGTAAGCTCCTTGAGGGCAGAACTGATGTGAATGTGCAGTATGTAAAGCTCTGTGAAAACTGTCAGCGCTATATAAATACCTGTAATAAATAAATGTGGGAGGAGAGGCACATATTGAGCTGCTGTGGGCAACCCAAAGAGGTGAAATTTTGGAATCAGTCTATAGCACTCCTCAGTTTCTAGGGCATGCTATGATATATGGGAGACTTACCTGTGTTATGTGCTTCCAGCTGTGACAGAGAGTTGACGGCTACTTTGCATAGTGAACAATATAGTAGCTTCTTGGCTTTCTCCTCCTCTGATTCAGTAATAATAATTGCGCTGCCATTGGTGTCTTTCACCAGTGTCGTTGGTATCACTGCTGTTAAGGCCACCTCTGACTTGGCGAAGAATGATCTTACTTCTGTCATGCTGTGACTAATGAAATTGTTGCTTTTTAATCTTTCCTCGTCACCTGTAGAAAAAAGAAACAAATGCCTGTATATTTAGATAGTTTATGCACCAACCACACGCAAGTCATAAATACTGGCTGCAAGCTTTCATTAGCAGGGACGTTTGACATTTACAGGCAATTAGGGTGGACCAAATTTATTTGAAATGGAAAAGTGGTCTTATTCATCCATCAGTAGGAGATCAGAGCACCAGTATAATTTGCTTGATTATTCTCCTTAGTACATAAAAGTCACAACATCCTTGTCATTTACACTGATGACTAATTCTCAGAAACTCAGAAACAACTAAATGTGCATCTATACCAATAACCTCCCTGGAGTAAAATAAGAGAAATGCAAATACTGACAATGTATTCTAAATGTATCAGTCTAACTGTTATTGTTATTCTAGACGTAAAAGAGCAGTCAGACATTTGTGAATGATTTAACCGACTTCCGCTATTTGCAATGCAGCTTCTGTACTACACAGGAATGCTTGGGTTGCATGAGTGTTGTTGTTTAGGTAATTGGGGGGCGGGAGCACAAGATTGTCCTGGCACAGGTTATTCTCAGCGGAAAAAATAGTGAGCTGAGAAGTTTCTCTAATCTGTCCGACTGTCTTAATCGCATTTAAAAAAAGAGTACCGTCAAGTAATTTTGGCCAATTACTGCTGACTCATATGAAATTCTCCTAGTGTGGTGCACCTCCATTGAACAAAAGTTGACTTGTTAAAGGAGCCAGTCCAAAAATTATCTCCCAAAATTATCTGAGTGAGATTTGCCTATTCACACTGCTTAGAGTGGATGAGAGGATACAAAAAAAGATAGGTGTATGGCCAGCTTTGGGATTCTTCATAGCCAGTTGAAATCAGCTGTATCACAAAGCAGTCAGCTAATGTGGATATCTAAGACCACCTATAAATATCGAAAACGGGAATAGCACCAAGTCCAAAACAGGTAAATCAGACCTGAAAACCAGTAGGGAGAAAAAAAAGTTGGTATGTGTAGTGTATATGTAAATGAAGAGGAAAGGTGTACTGTCTGAGCTGCATGATGTTTTGCAGAATGAAGAACATTTAGTTTTTCTAGTAGAAGATCGCAGTAGGATGTTACAGTAGTCAAGACAGGATATTATTAGGACACAAGGACTGAAGCAAGAGATGTCTGTTTGTCTACCTATCTACTGATCTTTCAACAGTCAATACATACAGGCCTGTCCTATATACATTTTTCACTGTAACATCTTATAAAAACACATTACAATGGTTCTTTCATTGAGTTTGCTACAAACAGATCAGATCTGCTGTCCTGGCAATCACAGTACTAAAGGAGCAGGAGGTAGCACTATTGGGTGTATCTTACATTAGTGAAGTGTGGAAACGGGTCAAAACAAACACAAAAAGATCTTAATGTTAAATGTTCTTTTCTATTCTCATATTTTGTCTTATGCTTTGTTGTGTTTCACACAAAAATGCACAGCTAATATGCAGTATACAATCCATTCCTAATATATACAATCCATTACCCTTTTGAGGTTATGCAAAAAGTCATATTTTACATGAGGATGTCACATACAAAGTGTTTGTTTTATACATTATGGGGTCTATGTTTGAAACATTTGTTGAGTGAATGTCTCTGTAAATGAAATTTGCGGCACATTATGGCCTCTAGATGGAGCAGAGGAGCATTGGAATTGCCATGCTCCTCAGCTCCATCCAGTGGCCATAATGTGTTGCAAATATCGTTTACAGAGACATTCACTCTTCCAATGTTCTATACATAGACCTCTATGCTTCTGAAATGGCTCTGTCACTATTAAAGCGGACCTTTACACTCAAAAATTAAATTCTACCAATGTATCCCTCTATGTATGATGATTATTAATAACATAGACATGTCGGGTGTGAAATGCTGTTATTGTGAAATACTTACACCGCTAGAGCATTCACTTCCTGCTTTGAAAGGGCAAATGACTTCAGTTTGCCAAAGCAATTATCAGGGAACCAGGGGTGCCACCTCTTACCAGGGTCCCCAGATACGTAATAGGGCACAGGGTCTCCTTCTTCGTGGCAGGACTGGCGCCAGGGTTGCGGGTGCGCATGCGCGAAATGCGCAGCATGTGTGCGCGCATGGCGGACAGACTGTGCGTAGTGCGCCCGCGCCCACTAGTGTTGTCAGGTGTGGGCCTTGCTGGGGGAGGTTCCCAGCATACACCTTCCGCACTTTCCCTCATGCCATTGGCTCCTGGAGAGAGAAGCCTCCTGGTTGTCTTGGCAACCAGGGGGTGGCCCTGGGTCCCACTGGGTATAAATTCCAGTCAGAGTCCTGGCTTGTTGATGAGTTATTCTACCTATATGGTGCAATCACTTAGCCTCTTGTGTTGGAAACTGCTGCCATTCCTGACCCCTTATCTGAATTCCCGACACTGACCCTTTGGCCTGCCTTGCTGTTTTTTGAACTTAGCCGCCTTCCTTGACCCTGACTAGACTTGATTACGTTTTTTTGATTTACCTCTTGTACTTTGTTTTCGGACCTCCTTGCCTGTTCCTGCCAGTGGGTTCCACTCACAGCTCAGCCGTATCCCATGACAGCAATGCACACTGGGATTGCCTTGTCAGCAGCAGAGCATTGCTGGGAAATCTCATCTCAGGGAAAGGCATTTTCCTCCCCAAGATCATGTGCATGGCCACATGTTCTAGTCACATGTCTAATCACATGTACCAGAAATCCAGGAAGTATAAGGAAAGCTAGTAATCTGCCCTTAGTAAACATGTTCACTGTCAGAAGACTGGGGAAGAAAAGAGAAATAGGCTATGCAAATAATAGAAGCTGGCAATTATAAGGAAGTATCTGTTTGTAGATTTCATTACTAAACATTTCTAAAGGTGTCTTTTGTTGTTATTTTAAAGATATGGATAAAGGTCTGCTTTAATATCACATACTAATCATCAAAATATACTGTCCACGTGTAGTATGCACTGTCTAATATGAACAGCACAGCAGCAACATGGGCTATTCACATGCCTAATGCCAATGTTATATTTTAACGCTCAGCGCAAGGATTAGATTTACATGTACTGTATGTAGTATGATCACTCTCAGGCTTACATGAGGGCACGGGGAGCAAAAATCTTTCTTCTGTTGAACTACTATTCCAAAAGAGCTATCTAATTGTTCTGTTTACGGTTCTGTATGCGGTTGAGATTATAATGGACAGTTTGCATATAGTATGCTATGTGTATGTCTGCCCTGCTGTGATACACAATGCCTACTGAAATACACAATGCCTGGCCGAAAAAAAGTCACACACTCTAATATTTTGGATATTTTGGACCACCTTAGCTTTGATTTCGGCACGCATTCGCCGTTCGAAAAACGTATGCAATGTCACAGCATTCATTTTTCACCAAGATCTTGTATTGATGAAGGGAGAGTCAAGCCACTGTGTAAAGTCTTCTCCAGTCTATCCCAAAGATTCTTAATGGGGTTAAGGTCTGGACTCTGTGGTGGCCAATCTATGTGTGAAAATTATGTTTCATACTTCCTGAATCACTCTTTCGCAATTTGAGCACGATGAATCCTGGCATTGTCATTTTGGAAAATGCCTGTGCCATCAGGGAAGAAAAACCCATTGATGGAAAAACCTGGTCATTCAGTATATTCAGGTAGCAGCTAACCTAATTTTTTGGGCACATAACAATAATGAACCTAGACCTGACCAAATGAAGCGACCCCAGATCATAACACTGCCCGAAATCCAGATGGTGACTTTTTTTTGGCCAGGCAGTGTAAGTGAACAATATATGCTATATCCTTACCCATTCACTTATGTTTACTTGAGACCCAATAACTATTGCTCATGGATATATAGAGAGCCAGCCTAGCCAGGATTGACTAACAACAAAGTATATTAGCAGACAGCCATTCCTTAGAGGCAGCCAAGCCTGTACCGCTATACATTCGTATAATAAACACAAGATGGAGCTCTAGCCAGGAAGCAGTGTACGCATTTGTTATTTACTGTTTTGTCTTTACTTCCACACGAACAATTTTTTTTTCTACTTCAGTAAAAATTAATGCCCAGCAGACAAAACAGAATGCAAATAACATGAAGATGGAATGCCACACAAAGTCCCCTAGGGCTCCTATCTTAATTGTCAAGGGATGAAATTCTGCCAGTTTGCTTTACATGTTTAACGGTTACAACATGTAACATTTCACGACTGTAACCCTCAGGCTACAAGCCTTCAAAACGGCTATTAAGAAGCTACATGTTTTAGTCTGTTTCACACTTATGGGCTTGTTCAAGTACTGGAAGTAATTCCACCTCGGGTCTGTTTTCAGGAATAAGTGCAATATAAACACATTATAAATCTCACCAATAATATTGTTTACATTTTAGTTTTACCCACATTCTCATCTCCTGTCTCGAGAAAGACTCACTACTTTTTTTTTTTTAGTTTTGGATAGAGGAGGGAAGGGTTAAACCTCTATCAGGTATTCACTGCTGTCTGTATACTGGGTGTGAATAATAAAGCTGAACTCCAGGTATGAATATTTTTGCATACTTACATTGGTACAGCGTGGCCCAATGTACTGTACAAAGTATGCATATGTCATACCTGATCGGCCGCTGGGGATCATGTAAAGCACCATGTTAAACGGAGCCCTGTATGGTGCTGTGCTGAGCGGCTGCAGCAGCATGGCGGCCATTCAGAGAACACCTAATTCACATTCTCTAGTCCTTATTGATGAATACAAGGAATTTTATGAGGCAGGGCAATTTTACAAAGCACCCCTTGTCCAATCAGAGAGCACCTGGTATGCATTGATAAAGATACTGGGTGTTCTTTGAATGGCTGCTGTGCCATTTGTGACATTACTGTTTGTGGGTGCAGATTTTTGTGGCAGTAGAAAATATTCAAACAGAATTTTAAAGGCCAAAGTGGAGAAGGGTTCCAAGTGAACTGCAGTTAAAAATCGGTCACTAAGTCTTAAGAGACCTTTTAGGGGTTTTATTTAA